CAAAATTGAACATTCTCCAAAACGCTTCAGAAGTACATATGTATCGACCATTCAAATAATTTGTAATCTCATCGTTTTCACGATTAACAGATAAAGTAGCTCTATTTGATCCTTTATTAATATATTTACATATGTATTTTATCGCTTTAACCGAATGACAGTATTCTACGTTAATATGCGCATTAAAGCACCTAGATAGCACTGGACAATACGGTACAACCCAACGGTTGTCAACCACGATTTCTGTTTGACCACGAACTTTTAATATTGCAGTATAACCTCCATAATCTGGTGATCTCCGTCGGTAAGTCCGATAACCATCATCTCTAGTTTGGGTATCTTTGACCAATTTTTGAGGGTATTTCTTACCACATTTTCCATTATTCATACATGGCGATCTAATATTTAACTTGCCGCATGGGCCATGAATCATATTCTTGCTTACTATTTCATAAAGTATAGGATCTCTGTCTTTGTTTGGTATCTCGGCAGAAATAATTTTATCAATTTCATCTGGCTGAATTTTCGTTTGTAACCACAAAAGAATTTGGTAGTGTGGCAAACCTCGTTTTTGCCATTCAACACTGTAAACATAACAATTTATATCTCCGAAAATATCTTTATTTTTTAATACATGCATAAACTTTTTTAGTTTGAGATGAAGAACTCTAGAGATTATATTGTGTCTATCAAACGACTTTTGGTCTTGAAATAATTCATTTTTTATTTCCGGCCATTCCGGGTTGCATGTGAAAGTAATAAATAAATCTGGACGGCCAAATTTACGAACATAAGTCATGGCACCCTGATTTTTTTCATTCATGTAACGTGGGGAGCCAGTAAAAGAGGAGAGAAGAATTACTTGTTGCCCCACGTTATTAGCATTAATATTTGCATCATTGTTAACAGCATCTCGGATGTGAACATAATCATCCGCACGTAGTTGTTTTTGATGGTTACGAATAAAGTGTAGTCTTTCAAAATCATTTTTGCCCTCATATCTACGGCGAATTGGCTGAAAAATGTTTCGTAATAATGTAGATGATTTAGACTTGTTTCTCTAACCATAAACCTATATGAATAAAATTGCATGCAGGAGACAGTTTTTGTTCGATTTTGGATATTTTTCTTTAAATTATGTGATAACCGTCTTCGCCTCTAGTAAACATCAATGGATATTGCAGTGCATCATAATATCTATTCAATTAGGAAACTCAACTCAAATGTCCACTTCAACCGTGCAGAACTATATCTCTGAGACCTTTATCTTCATTAACTAATAATACAGCTACTTCATCGATGTGCATTATATTGACCTCTGTGTTCATCTTGAGGAACTCTGTCAGCATGAATAATTAACTTAAAGTTTTGCAATTCATCAAAAGACCTCGACTCAAGATTAGATCTGAAGCTCTGTATGAGGTGATTATTTTCACACAAAACTGTTTGCAATGATTCAATGAGACCTCTTTTTAAATTTGGAATCATATTTGTTCGAATAGATATTTGATCCGACTCTGACATAAAATATATTTGTGAAAATTTAGCATTATTTCCAATTTCGGGTAATAAACTACCTATTAAATGATGCACTTGACCCTGAATTTTAAAAGAGGGCATGAAGTTCCCTTCAGCTATTTCGTTTGCTCCAAACGATGTCATTTGAAACAGAGTATTATACCGTCTAGAATTATCAAAGAAATGTTTTGATAGAGGGTGAGAATTATCAATTAAACTTTTAATTAGGTCTGGAAGATCCTGAAATCGGTGTAAAACAACTTTACCGTCAGCGCAGCAAAGTCCATGAGTTTCATCTTTTCATTTTTTTGCATGACACTTAGGACATAATATAGTCATTCGTCCAATTTGAAGCGCTATAAATATACGCACAATATAGGTACAATTGTTTTTAATTTTTTATGAACTTTTATGAACTTTTTTACTGACAAAAGTGGTACTAAAACCTTCAGCAGAATGTCGGGTTTCAGCCAAAAAAAATTTCAGCCAAATCGGTTCAGTAGTTTTCTCGGTTAGCGCGGTCGAAGAAAAACCCTTACAATTTTATACGAGTATATAGTATAGATAGATAGATAGATAGATATATAAGATTAACCTAAAAGGAATTAGGTTTAAAACAATTTTTAAAATAAAAAACTTTACCAGAAACTGAAGTTGTTATTAATACAAGAACTAGATATTGCACATTATATAGTTTAAAATAAATTATTCTCCATTAATAAATTGGTGTTCCTATATAATTTGTTGATCAATTAAATTGAAAATCCTTAAACCACAAAATATAATGATAATTATATTTTCCAGAAAGAACTGACATGCAAAATGAACCATTGGCATACATATTTATTTATTCTAACACACTTCTGCAATTTGTTAAAGTTATATAATATGAATACCTGAAACCAATTATTTTTTCAGAAATTATTGACTTCAGGGTGTCAAAACTTCCCTCGAAAATCCTTGTGAATTAGGAATTATCATTTGACAAATATTTTAAAGTATCACAACAATATGAGTGGGCTATGTATAAAAAGGGAAAATAAGATTCATACGTAAGAAATAGGTAATTTTAATTTGATCAAAATTTTAGAATTAAAATTATATTCTTCCCAGTGGCGGCTCGTGGATTTTTAATGAAGTAGAGCACATCCTAAAAAATTATAAAAAATATTATATATACAACGTTAAAAGTTTTTTGTTTTTTGTTTTTTTTTACGTCGGTGGTCGATAGTAAATAGAAACATGATTGTTGTTTTGAATTTAAGATCATGACTAACATTATTAGTCGATAATCAGAATATAATAAACAAATGAGAGTAAAAATAAATCATAATGCCGATACCGACGCGGCGACGTCGAATATAATTCGCTGAAAACATTTTAATTGATAATGTGCACAGAAATGAAAGTGCACATCAATTCCATTATAACGCGTGTTGTGTGTTTTGACTTGTTTTAATTTTTACATTGTACAAATGTGCACAGCAATAGTGTGCACTACTGCACCGCTATAACACACACACACCGACACTGTTTTGTCGCGGAAAACCGCCTGCTCGTGTGGCCTTTGGAATAACCCAATCTAAATATTATATTATTTTCATACTATTCTGAATTTAAATTTTGAAAAATAATCTTAATAACACTACAGGTATTTAGTTGTATTGTTATGGTTTATGTTTTCAATTTTTTTTTGAGTTTGGGTAGGTGCACGAGCACATGAGCCGCCACTGATCCTTTCGTAAAAATGAACTAGCAGATAAAATAATTTTTTAAGATTCCATAATAATAACTTAATTCCATAATCTAAAAATTATAATATTGGAAATAATTTGAATAAAATTAAAAATGTTAAATAATTTTGAAATTCTAGGGCCACTTGGAAAGGAAATGTGAAGTTGGCCTACCCTTTTGTTTTTTAATTATAATTCGCAAACGGCTTACTTGCAAATCCTCGAAAATAAAAACGCATCGTTTGGTATCAGTTTTGAAATTCTAGGGAAACTTGGAGAGGCTAAGTGAAGTTGGCCCACCCTTCTGTTTCTTTTATAATTCGCAAACGGCTTACTGGCAAATTTTGAAAATGAACTCGCAAATTCTTGCAAATAAAGACGCATCGTTTGGTATCGGTTTTGAAGTTCTAGGGCGACTTGGAGGGGCTACGTGAAGTTGGCCCACCCTTCTGTTTTTTAATTATAACTCGCAAATTTTGAAAATGAACTCGCAAATTCTTGCAAATAACTCGCAAAATATTGATATAGGTTTCAAGTTAATCCGTGAAAAAGGGTGGGCCAACTTCACGTACGTTGTAACCTTTTCTTGAATTGTTTTCCTTGAGTGTTGATAAAAACAATTAGATTTTAAAATACTTTTATATTTAGAAACGGGTTATTAGTTAATATATTAAACGGGTACATTAGATGTGTCAATGCTTAATTAGATACAATGTAACCATACTTAAGAGTAGACCGATACGGTTAAATTTACAACTGTTAACTTGTCGAGCTACCTTTATATTGTGTCTCAGTAATATAATAAATTCACATTTATAACTTAAACAGTGTTTTTTTTATTTTACTTCAACGGACGTGTAATTTATTGCTACAAGAGGTGACTTCGTCATAAAACGTTTTGAGTCAGTTCTGATCAGACCGGCTCACTACAGAGGTTATCGCGAAATAATATGGTCAGTCCAAATCGCACATTACGAATTACATACGACTGTAAGTAGGGTGTAAGAAGGCGAATAACAAGCTCTTACATATTATTCAAATGTATAGGTATTTAAGGGAAACCGAAAGAGCCTTTACACGCATATTTCAGTAAAATAAATTAATTTAATAGTGTCGTCGAATGCCCCCACATACATTTTTACGACGACGATGCAGTTCGCATCTCATTCATAATGTGCTATTATACTTCACAAAAAAAAAAAAAAATACATATACAGGTATATATACAAATGAAAAATTAACCGACCGTTTCAATTGATCGTAGCCATTTTGTGATATATTAGCGAACGTGTTGCACATGTGTACGAGTGTGTATTAATAAAAATGTAATTAATAGGAGTGCATTGCAAAACCATCGTAAAGATGATAATTCGCGCAACGATTTCAAAAACTATATTATTATACCATCGTACAGGTAAAAAACATAAAATATGTATAAACAATCAACGTAGATGTATGCTATATATGCTATATATATGCTCATGTATATACGGAAAATTATCATTATACTCGACGCCGATGAATTATGTTTATTTACGACACAATGAATGCGACATTATAAATTGTGTGTTTGAGGTGAGCTAGTGTGGTGTGTGAACAGAATAAGGGATGTTATATTTTTGCGGGAACACTATACAGTGCTGCTGCTGATGCTGTTGCCACCACCGTCGCCACCGCCGCCGCTTCAATGTACATTCGTTTTCGCGTGAGAGATTTCCTCGTGGTTTATCACGTCAGTCGAGTGGCGTGTTCGGCAGTATTCGGTGTTTCTCCGTTCGACTTGTTGGCAGCATATCATTTCTCGCTCTCTCTCCATCTCTCTTTTTCTCTATAACACACACGCATACACATATCGTATCCTTTTCTCTTTCATATCCTTAACATTCCGACTCCTTTCTCTCTTAATATTTTTTTCACTAATTTTTACTTTTTCCACATCAGGAGAAAACGTGGTGGTCGTACACCCCCACACGAAGTATTTTTGAGTTTCGAATTTTATCGCGTTATATCTGTGCTATCTCATCTGAACATGACGAAAAATCAACAATAACGACAAAATCCCATACGATTGAAAAAAGTAATATTAAATATTTTTCTGTGTGCACTACATTATAATTGTGCCTGTAGTTGTTGCAAACGTTATTATAATATTTTTATTTTTTATTTTATCGTAATAATAATGATGATAATAATTTCTATTAATTAATATTTATATTATTATTATGTTTTTCATTTATCGCTTTAAATTTGCATATTAGTAAGAGCGTTGTTGCATGTCGGCTGTATATTATTTTATTTTTCGTTTGATTTTTCGAAAGAACCACTAACAACGATCGAATTGGAACTGGAATTGTTGTTTATACAATATGACTTCATGTTTTCGATGAACTGCTGTGTCTTGCGATTTCGAGTAAAATATATTATGTATTCGAATCTGTAAGTTATAATAGAACGACGAGTAGCCATTAGAAAACGCATTTTCAGAGGACCATAATAATATATTTCCGATATTATTGTTTTATATGCTTCTAAAGGGTCATAAGAGTATAATGTTAGAAACGTTACGGCGCTGAGCATTGAAATCTTAAACGTTAAATGTCTATGACCCGTATAAATATATAGTCGATCATAAATTATTAATGTATTTGTATTTAAGTGTTTTAGCGAATGATCTTCGACAAATATTGCATAGTCTAAAATCAATCAAGAATAAAGTAGTGATTGAGAATATTATAGAAGTTAATCAACAGGTTTGAAAACATTTTTACTTTTCATTAATATTCATGAACAATGAAAATATTAATAATTATATTGAAATAAATAAGATAATTGATTAATATAAATTGCTATAATTTTATTAATGGTTGTAATATTTTAATGTTTTTGTTATTTCGAGTGTAGTTTCTGTTTGTAATTGTTTATAGAAAATAAACTATTTTATTCAGCATACACATTTAATGATTCAAATGCATTCATTATGTGCTATGTTTTCTTTTTATTTATTTTATACACTGTTAGAGGAAGTTTTACAAATAGGTCTAATAACGTAAAATAATTTAGTAATTTATACTATGTAAATTATTAAATTAAACAATCCAAAATGTTTACATTTTGTTTTTTACCAATTCTCATCAAATTTAATTAAATAAAAATAATAAATGAACACTTTGAATGATACAAAAAAAGTTATTAACATGTATGAAAATGAAGTATAAAATTTGGATAACATTTAGAATAGAATATACGTATAACTGTCAGCAATGAAATAAAAATGATTAATATGGACAAAAAAAAAAAAATGCTCATCACATGAATAGTTATGTAAACGGTGATAATTAGAACGCGCCGTAGCACGAATAAAATTATTTTATAAATCCGCAACTCCGCATGCACCGTAATTCCTCACGATCAAAAAAATTAACGTATCGTAGCTCCGTATTCTAAAAATATTTTTAACACCGAAAGTCCGCATGGCACAAAATGGTGAGTCTTTTCATGCCAAAATTGGTATTTTATTTACTTCAGCACATCCAAATATTTCAGTTTTCATTAAAAACTTATTAGCTATGCAAACGGATTCTTACATACGAATCAATTCTGCTAATATTAATAAATGTAGGATAGTAAGAACTAAACAAAAAACTAATATGGAATTTATAAATAAAAACATAGAATTATATAACGACGATCAAATTGATAGATATAATTTTGTAAAAAGTTTGATACCATTTAATAATATTTCGTTTTAATTTACATTATAATTTTATATGAAAGACGACGATGTTTGTCGTAAATTGTCTTTATTATTATACATTTTTTTGGTTTATTAGATTTTAGTTGTTTCCACGGTTTATACTTTTGGCAAACGTGTGTAAAAATAATTAGAAAGTACAGGTTAGAAAAGAAGAGGGGTACAACTGTATGATTCCATCGAGACTAAGCGTTTATCATTATTATTTTATATAATTTATGTTATGATAGTATGCAGAGATAGATGCGTTTTATTGTTACATGAAATTAGAGTAGTTTTCATTATTTAAAAAAGCCCAGCATGATATATAAACGTGTCGTAGGATAAGTTTTCCTCGGCTGTTTGTCCACCGAACTCGCGGTTATGTCTCGAAGCAACATCACGTATTATTTAACGGATGGCTCGAAGAAGGGAATAGTAAATAATATATAACAATATACTTCACGGTTGCAATACTTCCTGGCTCTTAAACGAATAATTATGTTGTGTGACAATTATTTTCAACGGAAGTATCCTAGCACCGTTATCTGCACGCGAAATGCTTATACCAATGGTATTGACAATAAATATAATATTAGACGAATGATAACCGAATTTTATCACGCATTCACAGGATGATAATATATTATTTTTCACTAGATATCAATTGGTTTTTCAGACTTTGGATCGTAATTTTTTTCGTTATTTTGAATTGATATAGTATTTAAATATACATATTATGTGGCGGCATCGTCTCATTTACTGGAAAATGTTGATTTCAAAATTGAATTAGTTTTATAGCATATAATGTAGTACTATAAGGAAAATTAAATCAACGTTTTGTACATTGAATATGTCATAATTTTTCAAAAATTTATTATAAATCCACTAAAGAACAAGAAAATTTAATTTTTCTGATTCTTAATTTGATTGTTGTCAAAAAAAGCAATATCTGATATTTTTCGATTTTATAATATATATATATATATATATATATATGTGTGTGTGTGTGTTATATATATATATATATATATAGCATTATTTTTTTAATATAACTATAAGAATACGAATATTTATTTTGACCTTTTCAAGTGTATTGAAAATATATTTTAGACCATCGTAAGCTTTTGAGTCATCATTTATTAAAATCAATATCAATTTATAATATTATATTCTTGATTTTTACTAAAAAAAGATATTACAATAATTGTTATTTGTCTACTAATATTTAAGGTTCTATTTTACTCCAGATTCTGATTTAAAACGGTAAATCATTGTTTTAGGGTTTTTTTTTTTTTTTTGTACAAACATGTATGAAAAATGATTGTTAAACAATGTCAATGTGTTGTTACGTGCCAACCGTTTGATCCGTGATTTCAGTACTAATGTCTTAGTCAACGCTTAGATGTAGGTGTAGTGAGAATAATTAAGACTCTTTATAATAATTTAATTTATGAAATTGATAAAATTATTCTAAGTGCAACAATTTGTAAATATTCTAAGTCCAAATAATTTAGACTATAGAAATTATTTTAAGTCCTAACAATTATAAGTTATAAAAATAGTTTCAAATATTTCTTAAGTCCGGACCATGACATACACTGATGTAAAGGTGTTCAGTGCAGCATAGTCAAAACTCGTCTGAATAGGGCCTGTTCAGGACCCCCTTTTATATCTGATATTGCAAGTGTATGTGTAAATCCCAAGTGTGTGTGTGTGTGTGTATAAGAAAACGATAATAAAAATATATTTCCCTATTGATTGTGAGTGTGTGCGCGCTATCTCCGGACCGTGACATAATTATTGACGCAGATGCCCAGGATGTAGTCACTACTATTTCGATTAACTATCTTATTTCAATTTCCCATAAAAACGTTTATGTGAACACTTTCACTTGTCCACGCTTGTGGTTTCGATATTTTAATTCCTTATTGTAATTTCCAGTGTAATAACCACGTGAATACAATAATCTAACTTATTTACAGTTGTGGTTTTTGATGTTCGTGGGAACCTCTTTGTTATGTATTTTATTATGTGACTACGCAGGACGCGACAGTGTAAACCGTATCTTGCGAGGTCGAAATACGGCTGGAACCCGATTGAACACTATTGATCTTTTTCGTAACCTGATTGAGCACGGTTGCAGTCAAATAATAGAAACCAAAAAAGAATCCAAAAACCACACGATTGAGCACGACAATGGGTGCGACGTTGCCGCTTTGTACCGTATAATATTCGGTGCACCGTATTACTGTGTATGCAAGATTTTTTTATAATTATTATGTAATTCAATTTTAGATTTGTAACGATTATTTTATAATTTAAAATTTTTACGGCTCAGATTTCCTAAAAGTAATAACTCTCCAATAGAAAAACGACAAGACACTGTTTTTTTCGCATTTTTGATATTGTTGGTGTATAGAGTTCGGTGTGTTCATATTTTTATTACAAAATAAAATATATTTGAATATATATAATTATTTATAATTAAAAATTTTTTATTGGATTTTAATCACATGTTATAATTACATTTTTTTTTTTTTTGCTAAAAAATAGCACTCAAACAATTGTCTTGAAAAAGGTAAAATTTAAATTTTTTTCTCTAAATACTTATTTTCAACTTTCAATAAGTATTTAAGTAGGTTGTCAGCATTTTTAAATTCAGAATACTTACGATAAGCCTTTATAGTGGTATTTTTAGTGCACGGTAAAGTCAAGGTACACGCGATAGTTTTCGAAATATCGCGCCATAATTTAACTGCGCGACACTCGTGTATTGTGCTCTATTCATTTTAATGTACTTTAACAAAACGCGCAGTAAAATTACGGCGCGGTAAAATAACGCTAGTGTGTTGCCAACCTAATAGTTTTCAATCTGACAATGTTGTACACAATATTTTTTTTTTACCGTGCTCAATCGGGTCGTCAAAAAGGTCGGCCGATAACGACCGTGTTCAATCGTGTATCACCGCGAAATACACATATTTTGGTTTATGTTTATTAAATTATGACGGTTCATTTAATTTCGAGTTTTTTTATAAGTACTAAAAAACATTTTTGGTTTCCTTCTATCATTATTTATATTTTATTTTCGCGTGTTAATAATCTTTTGTTCATACGCACTTGATTTAGGTGCATTTTATTGCCACAATTGAATTATTCGTCGAGCACCAACAACCGTTTTATTGTAAATTCGTTGCAAAACGAAATAAAAATATCTCGTACGCAACTATGTTTCATAATCAAAAATAATGTTTATTTAAAATCTTATTTAGAGTTATGGACGGAATGATTAAACGCGCATTAAAAAATAAAAAATTACTTTTTTTCGTGCGACTTTTGGTGTA